GCATCAAACTTTCATTACTTGGGTTTTGCAATTTTGAAGGCTGATACCCTGCATTGCCTTCAGCTAGTCTTTGAGTAACTGGTCCCTCTGCTCTGCCCAATGGTATCATAGTTTGTGCAAGATCATCTTTTTCTACATTTCTGTTCTTCTACAGGTTTTTGCCTTTCAGTGCTTACAACTAGCTGAACAGTTAAGCCAGTGAATTGCAGCTTCTTTTTTTTTTCCCTTTCCCTAGCAATCTCTATTTAATACTGGCTGAGTTTATCAGCTTTAATACCCGTCCTTAGGTCAGAGTGATGGACAAACCATAGCAGCTTGAGGATTTTGTGCAGCAGCATAAACTTAAGGACTGTGGTTTTCTATACAAAAATTATAACTCCTTTACAGAAAACTGTTTAGAGATCAGTATTTCAGAGCCCCAGTTCAATACATACCACCTCTTAAGTTTCTAACAATTGTGTCCTCTTTGTCATTCAGCTCATTAGATGTTTATTTTCATGAAATGCAGCCTTTTTGCCCTTCCTCTTCTGCCTCTGGTTTTGATACTTCCAGAATTTGTGCTGTTGTATTGTGCTGAAGGGTTGTTAGCTCTCATACTATCGTGACTTTGTTTTCAAGTGACAAGGGCACGTGTTACGGCACCAAGTCACTTAAACCCAGGTTTTGTTCCAGCCAGTGAGTTAATAGGTACTGAAACACGTAGAAAAGCAGTTTTCTTCAGTTCTCACTCTCTTGTCCTGATACCGCTCAAAGGCTTTTGCCGTATTTTCAACTATTCAGGATTCTTTCTGTTCGCCCAACACTGACTCAGGCATCTGTTGTTTTTACTGAAGTGGCTGAAATATGAAAAACCAGAACAGCACTAGAACTCTAAAAACACCCTCCTTTCCAGGTCTTGTTCATTTCTTCATATGTATGCTCTTTTCTGCTTTGGCCCAATCAGTAACAAGATCTTACAGAAAACAGAATTGTTTGGGTGTTTTGTTTTTATCTTGCTATCTGTCATTTGGTTGTTGTTTAAACAGTTTCAGAGATTCAGAGAAACTCTTGCAGCTTATTGTTAGGTTTTCATTCCTGCCTGGTCTGTTGCTAGAAACCATCTGTGACTTACCAATACTATTACATATTATACATTATATATTTCAACCTATATATTTATTATGCATATAATATATATAGATATTAAAAATATAGCTATAGCTATATAGCTATCTTTGGGTATTTTAATTGTTAGCTGGTGACAGAGTGCTTCCAAGTGCAAAGCCAGCTCAACTTTGGGTGCTTGTTTCCTGCGCTTGCCCAGAACAAACATCAAGGAAATTGTGGATTTTCCTCACCTGAAAGCTTTGGTGGAAGTCGTGGTGTCAGTGTGTTGACTGGGGAGCTTTACCATAAGTGTCATGGATTGTGGCTGTAGCAAACCTTAAACTGTGCTTTAAGAGGAGATTTTTTTAAGTCGCTTTTCTTTTGAGCATCTTTTAAGACACAGCATAAGCAGCTGAGAGACCTTCTTTCTACAGTAAATGCTTGCAGGACTTGTCTTCAGTAGCTTCTGAACAGACAAGCAAAAGTTTGGTCTTCTGGACTAAAAGATAAACATCTACTTCTGACAGAAAATACTGTTCCCTGTCATATGCTCTCCTTTTATTGATTGGTACTATGAACAACAACAGAGTAAAACTTGTAAAACTTACTATTTCTTCTGGATTGGTTCCGTAGTTTGGGCTGTGGTGAATTTAAATGTGTTATAAGTAGGAAAGACAGAATCCACAAAAAGTTGAGCTTTTTTAGGGCACCTTAGGAGCAATGTTTTTAAAAGTGCTTCATGTTTCTGAGAGACTTAAGTTCAAGCTCAGCTGAAAATAAAAGATGGAGAATAAGTTATTGATTGACTGGGGGAGGATGAATAAGGTAAACAGTGACATTCTCTTTATTCTAAGCAATACATTGCAAACAAGAGGACAGAAGAAAAGGTAAATTATTAATCTGTGAGCCCAGGTGAGCCTTTGTTTTTCTTTTGCAGCTGTTTGGGTTTTTTTCCTGGTGGCCAGACTACCTTTCAAGAGTTTTCCATAAGCACAAGAGAGATGTATTCCTACCTTTGGAGTTACAATTTCTAAGGTTACGTGTCAGTGTAAAAGGGCATGCATGGCCATCTGCAAGACTCTCTAAGGGAGCAGCAGAAACTCACTTCTGCATCAGACTAGACTGTAATGTGGGGAAAAAAGGCACCCCACATTTGTTTTTTTGACATTAGGCTAGGTTGCTTTTGGGCATTTTTCTCTGTATGGAAGGGAAATTTTCACAAAAATCATGGCTTTTTTTAAGTTTGTAATTTCAAATTGGGGTATCTGTTAGATACTGTGAGCTAAGTTGGGGTGTCTTTTAATCACTCAGGTACTGAAACCTTACAAAAAGCATTGTGTACAGTCCCTTTAGTTCCAATATTATTTTCAATTTCAAATAATGATTTTTAAAATTTATTTTTTAATCCTGTGGAATCCCAATGTATTGAGCACTTTACTAATGAATGTGTTACGGAGATCTCTTATCAGTCATCTTTTGGCTGAAACTGTCAGATGCGTTAAGAATGCTGCAAAATATTTCCCCTTCTGCTGTGGGAGAGAGCTCTGATGTGTGAACTCCTCTGACCACCCAGATATATTAAATTGGAGTGGTGGTGTTGAGCCAGAAAGGAAAGACCGTCTTGAATATGTGCCTGCTTCTAATTACGAGAGGGCATTATGGCACGGAGGCGGCCTGTCTTCTGGGTCACTGATCTAAACACGTTTTTTGCTTCTGATCTGGTTTTGAGTGTGACTAGAGGACCTTGACACTTTTTTGTAAAATTAGGTGTGTTTATGTCCTGTGCTAGCTCAAAGGATGTCCTTTTCTGGCTACCCATGTTACTGCTTGGTCATGCTCACTCTTTATGTAGTGGGCACATACAGTGACTCAAGTTAGAAGAACTGCTTAACTGCTAATTCAGCAAATGAGTTTGTGTGAGGAATGACAGTTTAGCAGTGGATTGGCTTGAGTTAAATAACTCGGACTTAATCGATCTAGTGAAGATGAGCCGTGTGATGAGATCTACTGAGCTCACAGAAACAAAGGAACTGAGGAAGACCCCTAGTTTCCTAGGGGTGTGTGTCTGTCTTTGTGTTTCTGTGTGTGTCTGTTTGTGGCTTGGTTTTTTTTTTTTCCTTCTTTCAGGACAAAAATAAAAAGCTTACTTAGATGATATTTGTTTTTTACAGTTTAAGGCAAGAAGGTGGAAGAACAGATGAGCCCTGTGATGAGATCTACTGAGCTCACAGAAACAGGAACTGAGGAAGACCCCTAGTTTCCTAGGGGTGTGTGTCTGTCTTTGTGTTTCTGTGTGTGTCTGTTTGTGGCTTGGTTTTTTTTTTTTCCTTCTTTCAGGACAAAAATAAAAAGCTTACTTAGATGATATTTGTTTTTTACAGTTTAAGGCAAGAAAGTGGAAGAACATAGAACTCTCTGTGAACATCTTGGTTTTAGTTCATTTGTTCAGGATTGAGTAATCCCTGAGATGAGGCATCCTGAGTCAGATTATTTATTATAAATTGTAGTAAAATGTCGTAACTTCCAAGTTCCTGTACAGGAAAATTACGGAGTAGATCATTATTTTGAAATGGGTGTGGTTTGTGGATGTGATTTCCTATACTATGAAATATCTGGTAATGATCAAAACAAAGTGGCGTTTTGAAAGAAAGAATTACCTTTTAAAGGTCTTGCTAGGCATATTTTGAAGAAGAATTTTAACAACTATCTTCATAATTGAATCTTGATGTATTGAGTCCATATATCCAGTGCAGTATATGCAGGGTCTCACAGACTCAGTGTCTTATTCATAGTGTTTAATTTTTGCTGGGACATAAACTTGACCCATCCTGTGAAACGTTTATGTTTTCCTGTCTCTTCTGGCTTCTTTTGTTACACTTTTCCATCACATTTAAGTCATATTGGTAAAAATATATTTTTAGAATAAAAAGAAAATGCCATTTAATTTCAATGTGTAGAATTTAAGAATAATTGAGGCTGGGTGTGACCTCTGATCATTTCTTCCAACCCCCTGTTCAAAGCAGAGAAATCTTCAAAGTTAGATTTGGTGGCTCAGGCCTTGTTCAGTCAAGTGCTGAGTATTTCCAAGGATGGAGATTCAAAACGTTCTCTGGAAAAACTTCTCCAGTGCTCGATCAGTGGTGTGACAGTCTCCCTGCCCCTTAGATCTAATAGAAATTTGCCATGCTCCTGCGTCCGCAACTCTGTGCTCTTTTGGTGTGAACTTCTGAGAAGAGCCTAGCTCTTCCAAATACACAAATGCCTATTAAGAAACTGTGGATAGCAATTAGGTTCCCCCTTTGTCTGGTCTTCTCCAGGCTGAGCAGACCCACATCTCCCGGCCTGGCCTTGTATCTCGTGTGCTTCAGTCCCCTAGCCATGTGTGTGGCCCTTTAAGTATTTTTTTATTGATATCTATTTAAAACTATAATCAAATGCCTGTTTGTTGTATCATGCTTGGCAGATAGACCAGACGCTCTAACAAGCCTCTCTTCGTTCTTTGATTTCTATCATTTATTTCAGGGGAAGTATGAGAACACTCTCAAAGTATATGTGCTAAAAGAGACCTATTGTATAAATCCATAGAGAGTTCAGAGAATGCAAAATAGCAACTACTGTGTGGGAATTCATCCTCTGTTATTAGTGCAGGCAAAATGAGTCAATTAAAGCATTTCTGTTGAACTACTTGTTCTTTCAAATCCTTTAATTGCCCAGCTAACTACAGGAAGACTAAAATCTAGAAACAGTTTGGGAGAAGATGATATTTGAGTATATTATACTGAATTAATCTCCTCAACCACTTGATTTTGCAAGGAGTTTTTGTTTCAGCTTTTGAAGAGGGTTTCTGTTCTAGCAAAAACATTAATCACGGATTGCCTCATTTGAAATTTTGTGTGTATTTTTCCTTCCTCAAGGGTGATGCAGATGGTGACAAGCCCCTGGAAGTCCATGCCGCTTCAAGTGAAGAGCGAGCCCAGAAGTAGAACACTAGATCACTTGGCATCAAACAGGTAAAGGATAAAGACTGATAACAGTTTGTGGCTACAGCAGGAAAATATCCTGGAAAAGCTGGACATTTGCAAATTTGACTTGTAGTTATCTTCTTCATATTGATGAAGAAAGAGGGGAGGAGAGGTAATAATTTTATTCATCTTAACATTTCTCAAGAATGTGCATGCTCCTTAACGCTATTTAACTTATCTAAATTCTTTATCTTTAGAGCATAGCAAGTAAATGTATGTCTCCTCCAAGGGCTCTGTGTTAATTTAGGAAGGCTTTGTTAACGTATTGGGGTTTTTTCCTTCTTCCCTTCTCATTTCTGCCCACTGTACCAAAAAACACTTTGCCTTCTTTCTCACACCTGTGCAGGTAAGAAGGAGGGGAAAGAAATCTCTTTCCTACTGATACATTTTCTCTAAAGATTTGTCAATGCCGGGGTACAGTGTTATCTTACAGCCTGTAACAGTCCACGATGTGCCTGACCTTTCATGTTGATGCACCTCCCTAATGAGACGTGCTTCATCCGTTGGGAATGAACAACAGAGGAAATGGAGGCAGCATTTCCCAATTCCCCGAGCCAGGAACTCAAGTTGAGATGCCAGTTTTGTTTCTGACTTGGCCACTGGGCTGCTTTCTAAAACTCAAGCAAGTCCCATGGTGGTTACAATTTCTAGAAAAGCAAAACAAAAACACCTTCTCCACTGTTTGAAGATGGTTCAATTTCATAGGACAAAAATTACTCTGTATTTGAGGCTTATTATTACTAGTGATAATGTAATTAGACATAATTCAGTACAAAATAGTATGTCTACTCTGCCATCAGTTGATAAAGGATGTCTTTTTTTGAACGTGTTTTCTAGTTGCTTGTCTGTGTCCTATATTATTTTCACATTATGTTAAAGACTTATTTTTCATCATGAAGTAATCCTAGCATTGTAGGGACTCCTTGTTATTTTTGTATGCATTGTTCCATTTACCAGTAAAATTCTTTCTAACTGCCAACTGTGTAAATAGAGTCTGGATTTAGAAAATTGCACCAAGTTTTTTTTTTCCATGCATCGTCACCAGTCAAAAATGTTTGCAGATGTGATGGAATGCACACATCTGCTGAGTAACAGCGTTCCACTGTTACATGGTCAGCTTTAAAAGCAAAACTAGTTTTTAACTAGTGTTTTCCTTAATGTATTTTTAATTGCTATAGCTAATTCTCACAAGGGCAAAAAGATATGTTGGCTGGCTGATTTACTAAGTACATTCAGTACATTAGTACATTTCCTTTCCTTCAGACATAGGAATATAAAACCTTTAAGAATGTTTTCCAAGTATTTTATAGAATAGCCATGCAAAATACAATTTTTTTTAAAAAAACAGGAAGAACTGTTTTGTTTTGTTTTGTTTTGAGTAAAGATACCCAGGAGAAGAAAGAGGAAGAAAAGCTTCTCTAAAATTCACTAAAATATTGTGCTTATCGTGAACTAGGACGAAGCTACTGAAAGATGAAAAGCCAGGAAAATTGAACTTTTGTTTATGTATGTGAGACACTGTACAAATATCAAGGTTCATTACAAACAGAAACTAGTAAATAGCTTTTATTTTCTTTTAGCATATCTTATTATCTGAATATAATATCTGGTAGGTCTTTATTCACTTTTTGGAATGCTAATGCTTTTTGCTTGAGGCACCTTTTCTTTTTAAGGGGGGTGGTTAGAAGGAAAGGAACAAAGCTGTCAGGAAGACTTACACTAAAGTTGGTATCCAGACCCTTTGTCCTCAGGATTTTAATCATAAGTATACTCATGCTATATTATGTAAGTTTTGACGAAGACCTTGCTAACAGCTGCTGTCTCAGATGTTTTACTGTCTTTCTTTTTAAAGAGTTAAGATAATTGCTTGGGTGCTTAAACTACCTGGGTGCTGCTGGTTTTGAAATCCACTTGTTTTGCCACGTATTTCTGGACGAGATACATAAGTGGAACTGCTAGTTTTTTTGACCTAGAGCAACCAGATGGTGAAAGTTCAATTCAGTATCAGTTTTCAGCTGTTCTGCGGGGGTGGCGATTTGTTACTTCTGCTTGAAATCAAATCCAGTTATTTAACTCTGTATGCAAGTCCAGACATTTTGTTGATTTGGGTGATCCCAAGGGTTGGAGAATGCTGCTGTGATCTTTGAAAAGACATATTTGTTTATTCCGAATGAGATCAGTCCTGAAAGTCTCACTGTATTTTCAACTGTTGGAATATTCCTAGTTGAATCTGGTTACTAAAATAAATACAATCTCGCTTTCCTCATAAAGAATTGCCACAGCATGGGTCTCTGAATTGTGAATGGTCGGCCAAGGACAAAACCACTTCGGGTTGGAGACAGTAACATATTTCTCCATTCCAAAAAACAGCGGCATTGCACCTCTTTTATTATATTGTTTGTCATCGATAGTTATATACAAACTACAGCTCAAACCACATCCCATCGTGGGAGAAGCAAGCTTTAATTTTATCCAGCTATTGTGCTGAAGAGTTGCACAAAAGTGACATGACTGTGTTTTTCCGTGAAGATAACATATCTCATTTTCACTCTGTTCAGGTTCTATATTTGCGTAATTCCATTTTTTTCGAGTTAAATTACCCTAGCTTTACACCAGAGTGAGATTAAGAAAAAATGCAATTGATGGTAATTAAAAAGAATTCTTTTTGAGAAAGTTGGTTTATTACCAAGTTGGTTTATTTATTGTTGTATTTATTATATATTTGAGAAAGTTGGTGTTTTGTTGCGATGAAGTTTTCTTTCTCTTTTATATTTCTGTACAGTTCAATGTATAGGAATCAAATTCTCTGGAGCAGACATAATCATTAGTGCTCTAATGTCAGTAACATGAAGAGTTAAATCTCTTTACTAGAAATAAATTGGTATTGAGAATTTTCTTTGTGGCAAGTTGATCAAAATCTGTTTGAGGAACAAAGTTTTGATTGCACTTTGGCAAGGGAAAGAAAAGGATTATGATGTTTAATTCTGCTTTCTCCTTCCCTCTCCTCCTTATGCGCTGTCCCCTTTCCTTGGTTATAGGTGGACAAAGAATATAGATATGAGCAACAATTTCCAAAGAAAAAGAGGAAAACCATCTGAATCCTTTTTGATTTTGAATGTGACTAATCTGCCTTCTGCCTCAGGAAAGACTGACGGTGTGCTGCTTGGGCTTTTGGTATGGAATTTGTGAAAGGACACTACGTATTTTGGGTCAGCCTTGAGACCTTGTCCTCAGTTCTGCAGTGGGATTCAAGTCTGCCCGTGCTTGTCCCATTGCAGGATCAGCATTGCAAGTAGCAAGTCTCAAAATTCCTCAATCTCATGTTATTTATACATAAAATAAAATTCCAGTTACACAAAATGGTCCTGTTTTTTTCCCTCCTCTTATCTTCTTTAAATTCATGTATGTGACACTTGCACAGTCCATGGAAGGTTCTCGAGATGCTGTTGACAATGCCTGTATTTTTTAACAGTGAGGAAAAGCTTTAAAGTAGCATGATGTTTTGGCTAACATTAGCTAACAGAGTTACGCATGAGAACAATTACAATGACTCTTGTGTTTTGTCTGAGTCTTCCCCCTCCTTTCTATACAAATCTTCTGCCTCATCAGTGCCAGCAGGAGGTATATAATGAAGCATCTGTGAGTTCCTGTCTAGTAGATGGATGGGAATGGAGCTGTTAATGTTTGTTCTTGTTTTTGCCTGAATGCGCAGCTCAGTGGGAACCAGAACGTTAGGGTGGTGGGAATCAGCTATAGAATAACTTGGCTGTTGCCTTATTCCCAGCTAGGCGAGGGGAGGAAAAAGCGAAGCAATGACAAATACAAAAGGATTTCCAGCATTTTGAAATCTTTGCACAATAAAACCCTTTCATCGTTTGTTGCCACTTCCATGAGTTTCTCTTTTGGGGCATGATGCTTCACAAGTAACTGTAATCCAAGTAACTCAGAGCATTTAAAGCTCCATTGGTGAGTCTTAAATGTTCCTAAATTAATCGGTGAATGTGAGGACTGGGGGAAGGATGGAATTAAATGTGTGCTTGTGTGATATGTTAACATATCCCTACAAAGAGCAAGGAAGAAAATACAAAGTAAATCACATTGAAAATGCTTTTAAACATCTTTGTTATTACTTGGTTAGGTATTCTGGCTGAGTGTATTCCACAAACCTTTAGAGAAAAACAAACAGACCTTGGCAATGCGAATATCAGTCTGTGTGGGCATTATAAAACAGGCCAACTCTTTTTTAACACAGGCATAAGGCATGTGGTTGCCTCAGGCAGAAAACCAGATTCTCCGAACGTGTTCAGTGCATGTTTTTATGATTGTTTTAGGCTGGTAAAGATGGGTGTTGATTTAGCAAAGGGAGCAGAGTTCTTGCGTGGGCTTTGGGGGAGGTTTGTGTTTTGTTTTTTACTTTAAATTCGCCAACATAGTTCAGACAGGCTTGGGAGGATCAAAGTAGTGTTTTTGTCAATAGTGGAATGGAAAACTGGGAAATATTGGTCATAGCTGTGACTGCTCTGTTACACCACTCTTGCAATACAAGCACAGATTTGTTTCTTCCTTTAAAGATAGTTCTTCACTTATGCATTCTCATATCCTAGAGAAAATGATTACCATTGAGGTAGGCATACAGATTTTTTTCAGTAATATTTGGCATATGCCATGTTGGCATTAAAGAACACAATTACTTGATAATTTGGGTATTTTCACCCCTAGACTCCACCAAGATGTGCTTTCCTCATTCTCCTTTTTGATGGTAGTAGTTAGCTGTTTCTTTTTACTGCCTGTGAGAGTAAAGCGAAACTTTTCATGTCCAGTCTGGTTCATTAGATAATCCTCATTCAAACACAATAGATTTTAATCTTCATTTGTTAACATATATATGTGTGTGTGTGTTTAAAAAATCATGGGTTAAATTAAGTATCATTTGACTTAAATGCTTTTTATTTGATCACATCTTCATACTGCATATTTACACCTCTGCTTAAAAATGTCCCAAATGATAGACATCAAAACAGAATGCTTTTATCTAGCAGGAAATGATTGCCTTCGAGCACCTGCAAACACACATGACGAGGCGCAAGATAGCCTTAACTGTAATCCTTTCCTTATGCCTTCTGTTTTTACAAGTACAGGAAGAAAAAAAAAAGAAGTTTCATGCTGGTAAGAGTGCAAGAGATTGTAAACATTCAACTCACTTGGCACAGATTTTCCTAATGAGGAACAGGAGAGCAGGTGACCACTTTACATATATATATATGTGTGTGTATGTATCTACACATACACAGATGCGTGGAACTAATTTGTGCATGCATGTGTTATCTTTTGCCAAACTGCCTGTGGGTATTACAACATATGCTAAAAACGGTATATTCCCCACCCAAGGTTCACGTCAACAGTTTGGTCATCCTTCCACTCAAAGCCTTTTGGCTTGGTAACCAGAATCTGTACAACTGATGAAATTGTGTTCTTATCTCAGCATCCTTGGTCGTAGTGGCCATTAGCGGATATGTTGGGGCCAGGTTCCAGTTCTCTTTCTTAAAAACATGGTCTTTAATCTCTACAGCATGTGAAAATTACAGAACTGGAGATGGTCAGGTTGGCTTATGCAATCCTCAATGCTGGGATGACAATTCCTGTAGGTAGTGTGTTAGTTGTCTGAGTAAAAACCTCTCCTTTTACTAGAAAGAGCGTCACTGACCTGGAATAATCCTGTTAGCCCAGGTAAATAGCACAATCTTGCCGCCTTGAATAAAACCACAGTATTTTGCCACAAGTCTTCATTGCAAAAATCTGGGTTAAGACTCGGTGTTCTACCAGCAGAAGGCCCCAGACACAGACTTATGAGCGGAGGTTGTAACTGAAATGTTTTGGAGCATTCTTCGTTGCATCTGTCGCCTTCTAAGAGAGCTATAACTGCAGTGCAAGAAAGAGCAAGATTGATATGGAGGGAGTCATATTTTGGAGCTAGAGAAGAGAATGCCCTGTGAGTTGAAGGGGCTTGCTACAGCTGTGTTTACTAGCCCTGCCAGAAAAATCTCAGTGTGAGCACATTTGCTTCAGAACAAATATGAGCCTCTGCTCTATGCGTTTATTTTTCCCTTTTCTTGTTTTGTAAAGGTTATTTCTGTACCTCCCCATAAATCCCAAGCTTGTTGTAAAGCAAGTTTTTTCATAATAAACTGCTATTGGCAAAGAGCGTTTCAGCTCTTTGGGTGTGCTGGGGAGTCCTTGCATAACTTCCCATTGGACCTTCCTGGATGTAGGTAGCATCTCAAAGCAGGGTCAGCTATTGCACCTGGATGGCCTGGCAGCTGGCTAGGTCAACCCCGCTGCGGAGTGGTTTTGATAGGTACAAAAGCTTCTTGTTTACAAGGAAAGCCTTTGATAACAATATCTTAACTACAAAGCAGAAGTTTCTAATTGCGTAACAATGGCCTGGCCTGTTTAAGTCTGGACCATTAGCTGATTCTGATATTTTTTGACTGTGTATGGTTCTTAAACTGACAGCTTTCTCGAGGTCTCTCTAGAAGCATAGTTGGTATATTTGTGCAATCGTGGTGTTTTCTCCCATTTCATGTCAGTGAAGTTCATTACCAGCCATCTCTGGTTAAAGACCAGTCTGATGTGGACTTTCATCTTGCCTTGAAGTTCATGATGGATTCCACCAGAATGCTGCTCTCACCACCATGTTTTCAAGCTGGTATTACTGGTAGCCGTTGCATTGGTGGTGAAAGCTGAAGAAGTCAAAGGGGGGCTCAGGCTGTCTCACAGCTGGTTTCCAGTCTTCTTCCTCTAAAAATACTTTTCTGCATAGGAAATGGAGCTACAACGCCTGCACCAGATTAAGCTGTCAGGCTCTCTTGAAGACGCCTGGCCTTTTTTTTTTTTTTTTTTTTTTTTTTTTGAGAGAGAGCATTTTAAGGTCTAAATCTACTACGCAAAGCCCCTCAGTCGTATGGGACGTGTCCAGCTGTGGTGGGTAAGCTGGTTGCAATGCTTCATCACCAGGCCCTGTTACTGAGGCATGATCATGTTATTGATAAGCTTTGCTGGATCTTCTGGAGAGAGGAAGATAGATCCCAAGTGACTTGCTACTGTGTGCCCAGGAATAGCCATGCAGCAGCCTGAGCTGTGCTCAGAGTCATGGTCCCAAGGTCTTTGTGCCCACCATGAAAACAGCAGTAGGGGCAGTGGCAATGGGAGGCCTCCCCAGATTGGTCAGGGAACTTCTCTTTTTGTCAATAGTGTGAATATAAACCTGCACAAGACTCAAGAATTTAATTTGATAGAGACTAAAGCTAAAGGATGTGCTTTACATGTAGTCTGAGTGTCTAGATCTTGGTCAGCAATACTAACCTGAAGTTCGGAAGACAGGCCCATGAGGTAACAAGATGGGTCACTCACTACACGCTTTTTGGCAGAGAGGGCAGATGCTGTGTCAGGAGGACTTTGGCTGCTGTCCTTTCACCTCCTGGGGTTCATCAGTCCTACCCAAGGAAGGTGGCTTGCAGCCCTGAGACCACTGCAGATGAGCGCTGGGGGCTGCGGGTGAGCACCTTACCTTGCTTCAGGGGCTTGCTCAGCCTGCATTTTAGGGTAGCAGTGCATTCAGCAACCACATGCCTGGATAAAAGAATAACCTCAAGGAGGAGAACCGCATTTCTTCCTTCTTTGGCTGTTGCGATGTGAAGGCTACAGAACCACACCACCTCCCGTACCGGTCTTTCAAGATCTGGTGTTCTGTGTCCCATTGCATCCAAATATCCTACCACCGAGTCTTAACCTGAAGTACCTTCGCTCAACTCCAGGGCGCAGCACCCGTGCCTTTGAAGAAGTCATATCTCTGAAGTTGAGCCACATCCAGCACTTGGCCGGGAGTCCTGAGGCACCCTGCGAGCCCCCCGTGCCCTCAGCTCCGCGGGCAGCCGGCTCAAGAGGCAGAGAAGGAAGGATGGGTGCCCCGGGCAGAGTGTGTGGTGATGCTCCCTCCGTGCCAACTCACAGCTTTACCTCTGGGACATCGAAAAGCTCTGATTTTCCCAGCGGCGGGGGGGGAATCCTGAAGCATGAAGCCAGAAGAGTCTTCATGGCTGTACGCAGGCACCAGCTACGGCTCGTAGGCAGGCAGCTGTGGAGGCAGCACCCACCACCACGTTTTTAGCCCCTTTTCTTTCTTTTTTTATTGTTAAAAATTGTGTACAGAAACATGCAAAGTTGGTGTATCAACCCCCAGTGAAAGAAAAGGGATTCTTCCCTTCCCCCACCTCCTGCCCTAGATTAAGTTCACGAACATCCTCTCTGTAAATTTAGCAAGCTTCAGACTCACTTCCTTTTGTAAGGAGACCTGAAAGAGC